CAATGAAGAGTAAATTAATTTTGATCAGAATACATTAAAGAAAATAAAATTATTATAAGTCTCTGTGGCCAAAACAAATCTCTCTATAATATTGGTATACACTAACTAGATATTTTATAAGTCTTGAAAGCACTTGTATTCAAATAGTTATAAAACTAAATGGGTTTAATTGAAATATGTTTATTTTCTCCAAATAATTTTACATGCTTATTTTATTTTTAATAGAAAATAATAATTTTAGCATCTCTCATATCCTCTTTTAGTCTCTTATTTTATTTTTTAATTGTCTAATTTGAACTATAACAATTTACATTCATTCCCCTTTCATTATTTCTTTGAATAAAATCTAAATTTTGAAAAAATCACACCCTAAAAAATATATTTACAAAAATATTTTAAACTTAATGATTTATTAAAAATATAAATTTGTTTAATTCAATGATTTACTTAAAAAAATCATGTGATTTAAATCGCAATTTTAATCATGACTTTAATCAAAGCATTTAAATCGTGACAACCCTGATCTGACTCTTTTGTAACTTTAATGTTTCTATTATTAAGAGAGGCTGATTCAGTAAAAGAATTTTTTATTTTAGTTTGCTGTTATTTCATTGTAAGAAAAGGAAACATGCAGTTGCATAGATATATGCGAAATTGGAATATTAATTTTGATAAAAATAAAATTCCTTAGATCTTTGATTGATTAATTTTTATGAAATCTTTAAACACATTCAAAATCTTGTAAGAAAACTGTTGACTCATATTTTTAAAATTTTTTTTTCTCCATAAATGATGAGAATTTTAGGGTCTAAATCTGCATCGCCTATTTTTGCCTTTTAATCTGCTCTCTAACAATCTTAACTATTTTAATTCAAGTTCACAAAATGTCTTATAATCCTTTTTTTTTTCTTCGAAAACTGTATATGAGTTTAAATTCGGAACAAATGGACTCTGTTAGTTTTTACCTATGCTGTCTCAATGAAGAGTAAATTAATTTTGATCAGAATACATTAAAGAAAATAAAATTATTATAAGTCTCTGTGGCCAAAACAAATCTCTCTATAATATTGGTATACACTAACTAGATATTTTATAAGTCTTGAAAGCACTTGTATTCAAATAGTTATAAAACTAAATGGGTTTAATTGAAATATGTTTATTTTCTCCAAATAATTTTACATGCTTATTTTATTTTTAATAGAAAATAATAATTTTAGCATCTCTCATATCCTCTTTTAGTCTCTTATTTTATTTTTTAATTGTCTAATTTGAACTATAACAATTTACATTCATTCCCCTTTCATTATTTCTTTGAATAAAATCTAAATTTTGAAAAAATCACACCCTAAAAAATATATTTACAAAAATATTTTAAACTTAATGATTTATTAAAAATATAAATTTGTTTAATTCAATGATTTACTTAAAAAAATCATGTGATTTAAATCGCAATTTTAATCATGACTTTAATCAAAGCATTTAAATCGTGACAACCCTGATCTGACTCTTTTGTAACTTTAATGTTTCTATTATTAAGAGAGGCTGATTCAGTAAAAGAATTTTTTATTTTAGTTTGCTGTTATTTCATTGTAAGAAAAGGAAACATGCAGTTGCATAGATATATGCGAAATTGGAATATTAATTTTGATAAAAATAAAATTCCTTAGATCTTTGATTGATTAATTTTTATGAAATCTTTAAACACATTCAAAATCTTGTAAGAAAACTGTTGACTCATATTTTTAAAATTTTTTTTTCTCCATAAATGATGAGAATTTTAGGGTCTAAATCTGCATCGCCTATTTTTGCCTTTTAATCTGCTCTCTAACAATCTTAACTATTTTAATTCAAGTTCACAAAATGTCTTATAATCCTTTTTTTTTTCTTCGAAAACTGTATATGAGTTTAAATTCGGAACAAATGGACTCTGTTAGTTTTTACCTATGCTGTCTGTTAGTTCTAGTTTTTTCTTTTTTTGATCCTTACAATCCTCCCTAAGGCAATGTCTTGACTGTCTCCTTATATGTATATCCTGTTCTGAGAAGATTTCCACATTGGGTCCTGCATTAAAAATTCACAAAATATTGGTTACACCGGAGAGCGCATGCAAGACCCTAAAAGTAGTAATAATAAAAAATAATTATAAGAGTATAACCCGAAAGGTATAATTCATAGCCACTTAACAGTATAAAATACATTTTTATCACTTAAATAGTTTCTTTGTATTCATGTTTTTTTATTTATATGAACATTTATTAACTACTATTACTGATAATTTTATTAAAATATCAACCTTTTTTTCAGTTGTTCTCCTGCTGTTCATTTAACTGAAGTCCTTCCATTACCATCTTTACAAGTATTTCAGGTTAAAATCTCATAATCCTTTTCAATATATTTTTATATTGTTTAAATTACACTAAAAACATTTCTGTATATGCTGTCTTTGGTTATGGTTAATTCTGAATATGCTGGTTATGGTTAATTTGTTTATCTTTCTTTCTCTTATCTCATATAATTTTTTTTCTTACATTGCATTTGTTATGATTTTCTACACAAATTTGGCACAAAGCTCATGAAATGTTTTGGGTAGAACAACTTCATGGTTTTATCTTTTAAAAGAAGAGCAGCAGCATCGCATCCTCTTTTTGGCATTTCCTCTTTTGCTTCCTGTTTTGGTAGAAATATTCTTATCCTTGTTGAAAGAAATACAAATGTTTTTATCTATGTTTTATTAAAATAAGGGTCTTCTGAATTGTTTAAGTTGACTTTATACATTCTTATTTTTTTACTTTAGTTTGAATAAGTAAGAATTTTTAAAACTGTATTTCATCCCTCAGTAGTTAAACTTTTAAATTTATTTCAATGCATGTGAAATAAATGTTCATTATATATTATGTTCTTATGCTTTTTTTATTATTATTATGATTGGTATTTATTTAGTTAAAGAAATTAATAGATTTTGTTAAAATAAATTGTTTTGAAAGATTTTTTTGATGTATTTTGTCTTTGGTTGATTTAATCTTTAATTTTTGATTAAGAAAGCTTCACTTGTTTATTATTTCTGAATTTTTGTTATTATATTTTTTTATTTTTATTTTAGGTGTTCTGATATGATTTATTCTGTAAGTTTTCTTTTGATTATTTTAAATATAAAGAATATTTCATATGTTTTGATGTTAAGATGGTGTAAATATTTATTACAAATATATGCTTCCTTAAGCGACAATTTCATTATTATTGTATTTAAAAAGAAGAAGGAAAAAAAAGGTAAACTATTTAGATTAATTTTGGTTTAACTGGCTATTTAAAAGGACATATATTGCTATGGCTGTCACATGTATGATACTGTCACAACTAAAAATATCCTCTTAAACAAAAGAAAAAAAAAATACTTGCATGCATTAAATTAATAGATAGATTTCTATTTTTTACAGTAATAATTTAAGAAGCAGTGTAAAATATGCCAGAATTTAAATTATAGCTTTCTAGTAGTAAATAACTTTTTACTTTAGAAATAACTTACTCAATAAAATATAAGCCTGGGCTACAAACAGGCTATCTAACAACTTAAAAGAGTTAAAATTATAAAAATTAACTTTTGACTATCTAGATTAGCAAAATACGTCACTGTGTGACAATATAAATCTCTATTATGATATTTTGTCTTTATTATTCAAATATAATAAACATATCAACCAAAACTTAATTATTTAATAGCTACTTTGCAACTTCTTTTAAAGGTACATTTTAATTTGTATTTGTAACTTAAAATAACAACTGTTAGAAACCAAATATGAATCCATGTTTTTAGGTTTTAACCACAGCATTCTTGATAAATGTGTTTTCTTCATAAATTCTTATTATTAAATATTTGAATTCTGGTTTGTATGAATAATTTTTTAAACAAAATTGACTTCTTTAGAAAAAAAAAGATGCTTTGTTTGAATTTTTACTGCTAGCTGCAGTTACATATGTAATTACCAAAACTGAAATTCTATGCAATAGACAACCAGAAAAGAATGGTTGAAAATCTTAAAGGAGGCCAAGGCTTTGCAAGAGCTGTAGCATCAAGATGATTATTTTGACTCTTTATATAATTCTAATCATACCATTAAGTTTAACCACACAGACATACATTATTTTTATCAACATTTCTAATGTAAATATTGTTTTTAGGTAAAATTTTAATGATTAAATATTTTTAATAAATCTTTGAAAGTCTTAGTACACTATCTACCAAACTGTCATTTAAATTTTCTTGACAAAAATGATTATAGGCCATTATAAGAACAAGGCAGAGAAATGATTTTATTTCCTTCTTGTATGTTTTTTATGCACACATTTCTTTGGTTTTACATTGTTTAATGTCAAGCTGCACAATTTCCTTCAATTTCTTTTAAGAATAAGAAATTTTTATTATAGGTTAATGCCGATCCATTCAATGTGTTAAATGTAACTGTTTTAGAAGCTCATAAAGTTACAAAAGGCTGGGTTGGTGATCTTGGTAAAGTATACTCTTAAACTAAAAATTAAACTAACTGTTACAAAATAAATATTTTTTTTAAATACTGATAAAACAAAGTTAATAAATAGCTAAGACTGTCTTTTTTTGCCTGTATAAATAGTGGATAAACCAGATCCATATGTCGTTTTAAACATTCCTGGAAGTCCAAGTGGAAGAAAGAAAACCACACATTTTAATAATACATCAAGTCCTACTTGGAATGAAAGTTTTTCGTTTTCTCTTGAAGATGATAAAAGTTATATGCTGGGTAAGTGTTAATATTTTAGAATTTTAAAGACAATGTTAACATAAAATATAAGATAAAAAATTTTTCCGAAAAAAAAAATCCTAGATTTCAAAAATGTTTGGAATAATTTTAATACTTATATTTTAAAAACATTTTTTCAAAAGAAAAAAAAAATTTCAAGCTAATAATACAACTCATTTCTCAAAAGCCTGAAGCCCAAAAAATGTACGTGGTTCTATAATTTTTTTCTCTCCAGTTTTTGTGTAGTAGCAAAAGTTTATAAAATTTTGATTCAAAGAATTAATTTAAGAAACTTGTAGATATAACCATTTTTTTTTCAAATCTATTTTATTCTTCATAATTTGTCCAATTTTAAATAAATATACAGTAAGACCTCCGTTAACCGGACATTCTAGGGACTGAAAAAATTGTCCGTTTAGGAGAGTTGTCCGCTTACTGGAAGGGTACCCAAATAATGAAGTTTAACACAGTTGATTGCTTTTAGAACGTTTTCAACGATGTAGATATAATTAAATAATATGCAATAACTATCTACAAGGATATTTATTTAAGCTTTAAGAAAGATAAAAAAGAATATATAAAGAAGTTTGATATAAATACATAATTCTAGATGTAGCTGTAGATAAATTAATATAATTTTTCTATTAGCATAGATAGTCAAGTCAGACATATGATACTGAATAGGAACTTTCAGTCCTCAGTCGGTTTTAATTATTAGGTTTACATCCCCTTACACCTACCTATCATTTTATAAGGAACATGATTAATACCTTCTTGAAAGTAAACCTCCCATAATTCACAGTCATTCACTGTTTAGTCATGAGGACCTATGGAGTTGATGATTCGCAATTGATCAGCTATTAAGTGTTTGAATAAGTGTTTCATTAATATGAACACATCAAAGATTATATTTCTGTTCTCGTTTTTACTTCAGCTGTGTTAAATACAGCCTTCAATTTCAAAATTAAAGAAATTTTCAATGGGGAAAAAGCATTGAGAGCATTTAATATGTCATCGCAACTCCAGGGGTCTCATTACCTGTGTGGTCCAGATGAAAAGATGCCACTGTCCGAATTATTTCAGGAGAGCAGTATTATTTTCTCTCCTTTCTTTACAACAATAAAGCAAAGTGACAAGAGAAAGATTGATTCTTCAGTAGTGAAATGGCTTAACTATATTTTTAGTTATGGATAAGGCAAAAAATAAACTTGTTTTAAAATGGCGAAAAGTTGTATTTTTTTTCCTTGCAATTTATAACAGAAAAAGTTTTTTTTAAAAAAATTTAGAGGAAGTAGTGTCCGGTTTGAAGAGATAGAAAATAGCGTTTCAGGGCCAAAATGAATGTCCGCGTTCGGTTACGGGAGTGTTCGCGTTGTGGAGAATGTACATAATGGTTTATTCATAGAAGATTGCCGGGGAATTAAAATTATGTCCGTATTGAGAGGCGTCCATTTTGCAGGAGTGTCCATAACAGGAGGTTTAACTGTATATATTTTTTGCATTGAAAGGTGAATCTATACTTATTTCAAGCCTTGTGTATTGTGGAGTAAATTAAAACTTACTACTAAAGTAAAATAACTCTAACTTTATTTGTAAGTTTTGTTATATTTTCAATGACTCATTCCATGTGAAATCAACTAATTGTTGCTGTTATGCCATAGATTTTTAAGACAAAATTTTTTGAAAAAAAGAGGGCCAAAAATATTTTTTTAAAAATTTTTTGGACCAAAACTATGATTAGCGGGCCATTTAAAAATTTGACCCAATTTTAACAAAATGACCCAGTTAGAAAAGGCAGCTGACATACTTGATGTAAAAATAACAATTAGAAAAAAATTAGAAATCTGCTATGCATTTGTTAAACTTTTGAACTTTTTAATATGCTGCCATTGCATCCTATATGAATGCTTCTTAAAAGTCATTGTCACCTTTCAACCTTTATCCTCATCCGATTAATTCTATTAATTGCTTAACCACAGAGATGGCGAAGCGAACCATATACTGCATACATGCCACTAGGTGAAACGTGACTGTTGTTTTGGTGGCATGCAAGAAGTGTAGTCTGTCTATGGAATGAACTCCCTTTTGCCATGCCCCTGGAGTTGTGGTGGTGACTGGTTGAAAGGTTAGACTAGTGTTCAGACTAGTTAGACTAGTTTTACAAGTTAGTTAGACTAGTTTCATGAAGGAGTGTTGCGTCAACAGGGGTCTGTCCAGACCGAATTTACTACCGTTTAGCGGTACCTTCACAAATTCAACTTTAGGAAAAACGGTAGTTTCACAAAATACTTTTTCTTAAAATTTTATTTTTGCATTCCTTAAGAAATGATAAATCCATATTCTTGCCATATTTTTGTGCTGGATTTTTAAATATAATTTTTAATTTTTCACAAATTATGTTTACATTTTCACAAAATAGGTACCTCTCAGAAAAACCTAGACAGACCCCTGGTCAATATTAAAGACAGGTTTTGGTTCAGGTCAGCGAGAGAAAGGGAATTAGGGGAGAAAGAAGCTTTTCTCTTTAATGCTCTATTTCTTGTTTCCATAGCAGCAGGCAGCCTTGGATTCTGGGTTCTGAATGAAGTTCTTTCTATAGATAAATTATACGTAACATTTACTGAATTTCTAAAGAAAACCAAAAACATTAACAATACTAATGGCCTTCACAAGCAGCTTCAAAAACAAGTATGATTTTGGTTGCCATTGTAACTGACATTGTCCTAGATGTAAGATTGGCTTTAGTACCTCCTTCGCTGTAGAAGTCTATGTTGTAGGAGTGACTGACTTTTCTAGGAAAATATGTGGGCGCAATGAGATGTTAGGGTTATAAAAAATATTTGCAGTAGTAAATTTGCACAATATTGTAAGCAGGCACCTTAACAAGGAAGTTTGTCTTATGAGTATTAATACAGACAGCATGTAATGACCTGAATGTAAATGACATAGTTTATGAGGTTCAACAAAAAGCGTCACACCCAAAGGGATAATAAGAATTTTGAATGAAACAATATAGTATTATTTATGTTTACAATATTAAAGGAATCTATTTTTGAAAGTTAAAATCTTGTTTAGTTGAAGCGTTTGAAAAAGAACACCATTTTTTAGTTACCATTAGTTTAGTTACCATTTTTTAGTTTACCATTTTGCTTGCTTTAGGATATTTTACCTTAGTTAAATGTTAAAATGAAATATTTTTGAAATACTGTTTATTCGATTCGCAATTAAAGCAAATAAATAACTTAAATAACTATAAGCAAGTTAATGCATAAAGTTACACAGTGTAGTTCTATAATTTGAAATCGAAGTACAACTGTTTGTTTATCAAAGTAAAAATTTTTTTTTTAAACGTAAAGTAATAAGTGGTAAACCAGACTCATGAAAAGAGCAAATTGTAATGTAACTGGCATGATAAGGGAAAAAGTTCAGCTTCTCTGTTCTATGTCATTAATAGAAAAATATCAGTTTATTTGAAATCTAAATTTGGATTTAAGAAATTAAAGTTTATTACTATCTGAGAGTTATATTGATTATTGTTAAAAAAATGATTGACTTACAGCAACCTATGAGCAATAAATGTATTTAAAAAAAGCATGATAGAGAAATCCATTTAAAGTATTAATTTGATTTGAACGATATGAGTTAGATCTGTTTGATTTAAACATAGTTATGTACTAGATTACATTACATGTTATGCACTTTTAAGTTTATGTTATTATTTATGTGGGTTTTATACTATAATTTATTTATTTTTGCAGAAATTACTCTTATGGATGCAAATTATACAGTTGACCAAAAATTGGGATGTGAGAAAATAAGTCTTGTAGATTTAGAGTTGAATGAAGAAAAGATCATAACAGTTAAATTTGGAAAGGTAGTGTTTATTTAGTATTGCTTTCTTTTATGATACAATTGCAAAAAATTGTAAGATCATTAAAGGTATTATTTTTTAATGATGGAATTGAAAACATTTTCTAACTTTATTTTTCAAGTTTTAAGATTTTCATTAATCATATTTTATGATATTATTCTTTAAAAATCTGTTGTTTGTTGTAAGTAATTCTATAGTTAAGTAATAATGTAACATTTGACAAGTTTTAAATGATTATAAATTTAAAAGTATTTTTTTAGTTTATTAATGCTTGAAACTAGTAAAATTATATTTCAAAGTATTGCTAATGCATAAAATCTAAAAGTGAATTCAGAATTAAATCATTTTTAAAAATTTTAACTATCTGACCAAATTGCAAAAATCCATTCCTAAGGTTTTGTTTGTGATAAAGATTATTTTTATCTGTTTAGTTTTTTCCGTAAAATTATTAAAATATTTTCCAACCTCTTCATGCTAACCTTTTCCCATCATTTAGATTACAAATTTTCGAATGATTTTAAATTTACTTGTTTTATTTTTTTTAATGATTTCAATGTTCTTTTCTTTGTGTAAATATTTATGTGTAATGGTTTTCTTATTCGTTAGAATTTATTATATGTAAATATTTTCTTTCAGTAAAATTTTTGTAAATATTTAGGTTACTGAAATAAGTTTGCAGCTTCTTTTGCAAAGAGAGTAAGTATTATGTATAATTTCATTTTCAATTTGTTTTGCTCTTTTTTCAAAAAAAAAGTGTAATTGCAAATTTTTATTTCAAATAAATAAAACTTGTCTTCCGTTAGGCAATGTAATTCATAGCTGTTTGTCATAAGTTTTAAACTACGAGAAATGTCTTATAAATAAATTGTAAAGTATAGCTTTTCATTGTTTGTCTGTTGTAAATTGTTTAAATCTTGTCATCAGTAGCAACAAATCATAGATCCTTGTTTCTTTCCATACAAATTGATAATATGCTTCACTGTATTTAAACTTAAATTGTGAAAATGTTCATTTGCGTTATAAAAAAAATAAAATAAAAGTATTACTACTAAAAGAATTTTATTTAATTTGATGTAAAAAATATTCATATTCTTTAAGTTAGGGTATTTTATATCAGTTAGGTTTTACACTGCAACACTGATTTACATATTTCGAAAATAAATGAACTTTTATTTTATTTTTTTCTTATTAGATTAATTTCTATGATTTGTCTTTTTTGTGTTTATAAAATTGAGGATTTTATGCATAATATATTATGTATAATATATTATGTATATCAAATGTCTTATTCATTTTGTTCATCATAATTATGCTCAATTTTAACATATTTTAGTCGATTAAAATGTGTAATCCCCAAAACTTTTACAAACTTGCAATGTTTTCTGCTTTACATTGTTTCCCATCTAATACTTTAAAATAATTGGTTTGATATTCAGTGAAGCATTCATGTCTAAATGTAATTTTATGCATGTAGAATTGTTGGAAGTAGTAATAATAACTGTTGTGCGGTGATAAGTATTAAGGTTCTAAAATTAATTGTTTCTCTTTTTTCAGTGAGAATACCGATCTTCGTTATGGTTTATCCCTTTGTGATAAAGAGAAAGAATTTAGAAGTAAAAGAAGCCAATTTGTTTTACAGACTTTGAAAGATTTATTTCCTGAAAACTATCCTTTGGAAGAGAGTGATGTATATATTTATTATTTTGTGTGTTTCTATTCTTTTAGTTTCGAAATTTTTGCAAGTCTAAATGCTTTTTTTTCTAAGTTTATTTTGAGCATTTATTTTATATCTAACTCCATATTTAAAAATTATTTGATTTAATAGTATGATGTGTTTTTAAAATACATAATCTTCATTTGGTGATTAAATTGCAATAAAAAAAACTGGATTAGATACAAGGTAATATGTAGATAGATACATAGTCTAGAGGATTGGGAAAAATATTATGAAACACTGTAGATTCTTTTCCTAAAAAATTGTGTTTAACTTTTATGTCAATTATAAACATTTTACCTATGTTTTATTAAAGTACACATTATTGAAATAGGCCTTAATTAATTTCGTTCATTTCTACATACTTTATGTACAAAAACTAAACCTCATCTGTTACAGTATTGTATCTTTATTTGATTTTTTAAAATTAATGTAATGCCTCAATTTTTAATGTTCATTTTTAGTCTTTTTTTTTAAAAAAAAAACTATATTGTGTTAGATTAATTATTAATAGTAATTTTCAGATAATTAGTTCAACTTATTTAAAAAATCAGTATGTTTTTTTTCTTTTTTTAAATTTTATTTTTTACAATAAATGCAATTTAAAAAAATACCAAACAATTTTGTAAGTCATATGCTTTGAATGGGTATTCTTGTTTATTAAAAAAAACATTTCTGTCACAGCCTGTTCTTTGATATAAAGGTTATTGCTACCCAATTTTACAAATTATGGCATGTTTGGGCCTGCCAAAGGGGGCAGCAGGGAATCTAGGTGGATTCTAAGCAATTACCAGGAAAAGAATCCTAGTTCATCAGACTGACAATATAATAAACATAAACTCCTGATTATCTGTGTCTAGACTACTTATGCTTACTTTAAATATGTGTTAAAAAGGATTTAAATCCTCTTGCAAATGATTTAATCTGAATGGCTGAATGCTTTAATTCATTTAACAAACTATCAGAACTTATGCTTACTTTAAATATGTGTTAAAAAGGATTTAAATCCTCTGTCCAACGATTGAATCTGAATGGCCGAATGCTTTAATTCATTTAACAAACTATCAGAATAACTCAAAGAGTTTGGGACAAAAAATGTAACTAGATATTACAATAAATATGCATTAAAGCTAGCTTCATTCATGTTCATTTATCATATTTATTTGTTTATAGCTCTTGATAAAAGCAGTTTTTTTCTGCCACTTATTTTGTAGTAAAACAAATGACTTCAGATTAACCATGATTCCTGATTTTACCTATCCAATAATTAGACAAGAGAGTATACTATACTATAGTTACGTTTAGTTAGTAAGTTGAAGATAACTGCAGATTATAATAATGACATAATGTTTCGACTTGGTACTGCCTGTTCGGAAATCGGACTTCCACCAGAACGAGTTGTATCCTATCGCTCTGGCCACTATACACGGGAGATACCCTTGCCAGCAATGGCTGCAGGTTTTTACTGATGGATCCGCCACTTTTGCAACTGGTAGAGCTGGAGCCGGTGCTTACTCCAAATATTTCGGCCTTAGCGAACCTCTTGACACTTGGGCAGATAATTTTGATGGAGAAATGTTTGCAATCCTTATGGCTATTACAGCTTTTGGTGAACCATCTGAACAAAACATTGTTATTTTTGTCGATTCTCATTCTGCTATTCAAACCATTTCTGAATATAATTTATACCCCTCTGAACTTGAATTTAAGTGTAAACAATGCATCGACTCTCTTCTTTGTTCTGGAAGAGAGGTAGTACTCGAGTGGATCCCTGGCCATTGTGGGATTTATGGAAATGAACGGGCTGACATGTTGGCTAGAGAGGCTTCAACATTGCATCCATCTTCTCACCCAGTTCCTCTTAGAAATGCAAGGCGGCTTCTTGAGAGCAAATTCAGGCACAGAACAATATCTGATCTTAGGGACTTAACTGATGGAAAATCCTGGGTTTGCCTTCTTGATGACCAGCAGCACTCTCACCTTTCCCTCCTTCCCAGAGCCAAGGGAGTTGCTTGCCTTAGAATAATTGCTAGACATGACTACTTGCAGGCCCATCTATTTAAAATTAACCTGGTCAATTCACCTCTTTGTGTGATCAGTAACACTTCGCCTATGACTGGGGAGCATCTATTTCATTGCCCCTTTCTTCTTGACATTCGTTCCTGTGATGACTTTTGTGCCCTCTCACCTTCTGGAGCTACTTCAGTGTTGTATTGGNGTAACACTTCGCCTATGACTGGGGAGCATCTATTTCATTGCCCTTTCTTCTTGACATTCGTTCCTGTGATGACTTTTGTGCCCTCTCACCTTCTGGAGCTACTTCAGTGTTGTATTGAACTGCAAGACGCCTTATGTCTGAGAAGACGATGGCGGGTGTAATTAAAAAAAATAAAAATAATAATGACATGTTTTTTCGAGAGTAATTTTTTAAAAATTTACTTTAAAATCTGGCATAATTTTTTGTTTTTGTTTTTATAACTAGGTACCAATAGTGAGCATTATTGGTTCTGGTGGAGGATTTCGAGCTATGACAGGACTTGGGGGAGCTATGAAAGCTCTTTGTGATACTAAGATTCTTGATTGTGCTACCTACACTGCAGGATTATCAGGATCTGCTTGGTAAACAAATGATAGTTTAGTCTAATTTATGTATTACCTTGTCTGTTGTTAACATCTGGTTTATATTTCAATTAACTATGTATACATAACATACATAATTTATTGGAATTTTTGAATGGATTATAGTTTTAATGATTTTGTGGGGGGCGTAGTTATCGACTATGTCAACCGTCATCTATGAAAAGGTACCCCGACATAGAGTCGAGTTAACATGTCTTATATACTAGTGAATTGTAGTTGTAATTTTGTAGTGGTAGATACGCTACAATTTCAAAAGTTTTGCTGTATTCCAGTAATTTTTATGTATTCCTCAAGTAAAGTGCGGAAGTTTTTAAACTCATAAGATATTTTCATTTTTATTATTAGATGTCTAATTATAAAAAATATCATTGGTTTCTTACCTACTAAATTTTTGTGAGTTATTGATTATGTTTGTGTTGTAGTAAATTTCCTTAAGCAAAATAATACAAAATATTTAATGAAACAGGGCAAATAAACAATAAGATTGTATTTCAGAGGTAACATAATGTTGTGGTAGCTTTAAATCACTATATTACTTTTATCTATTATTGTTCTTGTTTTCATAATCGACATCTTTTGTCTTTAATTAATATTACCAATATCTATCGGGATTGCTACAATAATGAATTATAATCTATAGTTAATATCATTATTATTCATAACTTAAACCTGTGATTTAATTCAAAAGCAATAAATGTAAGGAATTTAAAATTTTTGAGCAAATATTACAACACTTATTACATTTATTACTTGAAATTGGATTGATAGAAGCAATTTTCTGTTAATTATTGTAAGGTTCAGAATAGGATATGTATTTTTTATTTTCTTATGTCTTTTTTTTACAGGTATTTATCAACACTTTATTCTCATCCAGAATTTCCTGAAAAATCTCCTGGTGAGCTTCTTGAAGAATTAAAATCAAACGTTCGCCATAGTCCTTTTTGGCTTCTAAGTCCTCGAAGTATGTATAGGTACATTTCGAGCATTAAAGAGAAACACAAAAAAGGCCAACCTGTTAGCTTTACTGATTTTTTTGGATATCTTCTGGGAGATACATTGTTGAAAGGGGTAAATCCTATGTTTCATTTTATTTACCTTTATGTAAAAGCATTGCATATAATTTTTAAAATTTCTTCTAGAGATGCGGTGCTCGACTGTCTGATCAGCAAGAAACAATTGCTGAAGGTAAAGCTCCACTTCCTTTGTACACTTGCTTACACGTAAAATCCAACGTGTCTGCTAAAGTTTTCCAAGGTAAGCACTGCATTATATCTGTAAAATTCTAAATAGAAGAAAAGGAAAGAAAAAATAGTAAATAATCTGTAGAGCAATGTAATATTTTTTCAAGTAAATATTATAGTATGAAACACAGAAAATTTTAATATCGAACATGTGGTACAATTTTTTAAAATTTTGTTCTCTTATGTTTTGTTTCCTTTTTGCAATGTCCATTTTTGATTTTTTACCGTTAATTTAATAATTTTTGGGAAAAAATATTATAATTTTCTCACCCTTTTTATCATTATTAATTTATTATAAGTGTTGTTTACGATCTTATTATTTAAGATGCAGCATTTTTTTCTTCTTTAAACATAAGGTTACAATTTTCTTCTCAAAAGTTTAAATCACTTTTCTTAGATATTTGCAACTAGAAATTTTCATTTATCTAATAGATCAAATTTTTCATAGCATTAGTAGCTTAAAAAATAAACATTATTGAGTTCCCTCTTTTTTAAACTGATTTTTAATTAGCTCCCATCTTTTGAGTGTAAAATATTTTATGTTTATTCAATTAAAATTTTTATTTTCTGGCTTTTGCATTTGTGAAAGTATTTTCCATGTTTTCTTAGAAGTGAATGCATATAGAGTAACATTGTCTCAAACCCTATTCATTTTTATTATCATTCTGAACTTTTGTCACCTCTTTTTTTTTAAACTTTAAAATTGCTGTTTCGTTGCAACAAAACCAGATTTTCTTATAGTTCAATGAAAAAGTAGTGCATAAGCTGTTCAACATACATGAAGTTATAATGCTTGAAAGATTAATAAAAAAGTGTTGACAAAATTATTTATGTCAAATTTCTACAATGCATTTCATATTGTTCGTGTAAAACTAAAAAATTTTACAATGTTTCCATAATTTTTTTTATTTATATAATTAATTTCAGATTGGATAGAATTTTCTCCTTATGAAATTGGAATTGCAAAATATGCAACATTTTTGAAAGCTGATGATTTTGGATGTAAATTCTTCAAGGGCCGAATCATGAAGCGTTTTACTGAATACCCTTTGCATTACCTCCAAGGTATCATACGAATTGACTATTGAAAATTAATCGTCAATTTAATGCACCATTTTATTTGAAATTTATATTTAAAATATTTTTTGTACTATAAGGAATGATGTTTTATGGTGTTTATATAGTTAGTTATCTTTTTAATGCTTGTTATTAAATTATACACAGCATTTTTAATTTATTAAGCAATATGGAAATGAATAGATATTTTAAATTGGATTTAATAATCGTAGTAATTGACAATAATTTGAAAAACTCACTGCTTAAAATTTACAGAAATTTTTTTTTTCACTTTTGACATAAAATTCTTTTTCATTGAAAATGCTTATTATTTATCAATAGTTTTAGACATTTTAGAAATAATTGATTTTAAGGATTATTATCAGAATCTATTTTCTTTGTTAAAATTCTTAAATAATTAACACATTATCACAGCATTCAGTAGTTCCTTTTTATAAAAATAAATATTTGCTAATTTTTCAAAAAATTTTTTTTGTATACATAGAATGTATTTTTTAATTTTAATTAAAAAAATTTTAATGAATAAAGATTTGAAAATTATACTAGAGTCTTCATGCATGTCAAATTAATAAGTTCCTTTTTAATATTTGCAGTTAAAAAAACTCACTCATTTTATTGTACTTTTGAAGAATTTATTATGCTATGTGAATTTATCAGAATATTACCAGTGTTATGTAGATGTCAAATTCTTTTAATTGCATCTGACAATTATCAGTCAGCCTACCACTTTACTTAGTCATAGTCATTTTTACACCTGTCAATTATGGAATTCCTTTGGAATGAAATCCATTATGCTCCATTTGAAGCATTCTACTTAATCACGGATAACGTATGATAATTGAAGAGCTTAGTGGAAGAATGTTCTAAGTGATAATTTTATTTAAAAGCAGTTAAGATTTCTTAGAGAAATATTTTAATTTAGTCTTAAATAACTACACAAAATTAATATAAATTTGCTGTCTTTAAATTCTGTAGATCTCAATAAAAGACAGTTCAAAATAAGCTTTCAGCGTTTTCATAGGGTAAGAAAGTTCCTCTAAGTGCATTTTTATTTTGTCAATGTTATAATAATTTTTGTTCTCACATGGAAAGGCAATACAATTAGATTTTTTTATTGAAAAAACAGGAATGTTTATAAAATATGTTTTTTTGTGTCTGTTGTGTTATATAAATGGTCAAAATTCATTAATTACGATTTATTAAGTCTACCTTGTGCCATGTAACATGCAACATAGTAAGTACATGAATATTATAGCAATAATACATTATTATTATCAAAAATTATATACCGTCTGTTTGGTTTTTATTTTGTCATCTGCATGTATCAGAATCACTGTTTTCATCATCTTGAATCTTAACAAGTTCAATATTATGTGAAAAAAAATGTTACTAAAAATGCATTCCTCATAAAAGAGTTAGTGCTAAATCACTACGCTCTAAAATTGTGTAGATTATTTCTTTTAAAATTATCAAAATCACAGACATTCAAGAAGTAACAAAAAGAGCCACTCAGGAACTTAAAGCTAATTTAATCAATTCATTAATGTTTCACTATGATTATTCCACTAAATTCTTTAATTACTTTGTTTACTAAATCTATACCTCTGGGGGTACTGGATTGGAGATCGATCGTTCTCTGATTCAGGTCAAAATTACGATCTGTGGATGAATGAATGGGTCCGCCCTATAAACGGGTGCGACTTATGGTGTGGCAGAAGTCGAATTCTTGGCCATAGATGGCGCCACTGGAAAACAAGAACAATCACACCCCTCTGCCTAAACAGGCATACGCCAACAACAACTTTGTTTACTACGGGGGGAGTGCATGAATACTTTAAGATGGTTGTTCGAGGTAGATACATAGTTCTTCAAGGATAAATAACTTTAGCTGAGAGGGATAGCATCTCATTCTATCAACATGTGGGTTTTAGGTTCTCTCGTGTGCCTCGCACATTGTTCCACCTCGTTAATAATATTGCGAAAGAAAATTTGTTTTGAAATTAATATCCGATTCTCACTCAAGTAGTATATTATTTTAATGATTCTTCCACTAAATGCTTCAATTACTTTGTTTATTGCATTGAGAAGGCAAAATAAATACTTTTCTATAATTGCTTAATATAGCCACATAGATAGCCATATAGTTGTTCAAGGATAAGTGACTCTATCTGAAAGGAGTAGTATCTCATACTATCTACCTGAAGATTTTAGGTTCTCCCTTATGCATAGCGTATAATTTTTCCTCATTAGTTTTGTCATGAGGGAAAATTTGGTGTAATATTAATAACCAATTCTCATCCATGAGGGAAAAATAATGATGACTGTAAAACTTTTGTGAATTAGAAATTTTGTGTTTTCTGTTTCTTTTTTACAATTTAGTTATTTTATATCGCTGTAGATTGAATAATTTTTTATTTAAAAGATAAATTTTGAAAAAAAAAGGTTAATAGTCTATATTTTGACTGCAGGCGTATGGGGTAGTGCCTTTTCAATCCTTTTCCGACGGCTGATTCAGGAGCGTACTAAACTGTCAATAGACCTTAATGCTCACTCTCATGAAAATATAGATGAAGAAACTGAAGAAGAAACATTCTTTGATGCAGAAGAAGAATTTCAAATTGAAGAAGACACTCTTCGTGATGCTCTTGGTAAGTATTATTAGTAATTAATTTTCAAAGCTAAAAACATTTACTCAGAACTGCGAAGGAAAAAAAACAGTTAAGAAAAATAAATAATGCAACGTTATTTTAAAATATTTGTAATTAGTAGGTTTACCATTTGGGTTTAAATGTTTGAAGTTAAATTTGTGAGCAAAATTATGGTTATCATCGTATAAAAATCATCGTATAATTTTATCATCGTATAAAAATAAAAATCTTCTCTGAAGGTAATGGTGAAAAAGTTGCAAATTTGTACTGTTTCTTCTTTTTCGGCAATAAATTTGAAAATTATAAAAATCAATTTATTTTTTTCTCTAAACTCACCTAATCTTTTAAGGCTGTCACAGCTGTGTCTATTTTCCAAAAGCCAGTGTAATTATTAGCATTTGCTGTTGATATAGTTATTGTATGTATAATTTGGAATGATTTGATTGAAGCCCTTGAAATTGCAGCTAAAAATCTTAAATTAATTGTCAATATAGACAAAATTAAATTTATGGCAGTAGCAAGAGAAACACCAGATTTGTCACCACTGAAAATTAAAAGAGTGTATTTTTGTAAAATTTGATCAGTTTTAAGTATTTGGGAACAATTTTAAATAAAATAATGTCATTAAGACAGAAATTAACAAAATAATAAATATGACTAATAAATACTATTTTGGATAAAGAGCAGAATTCAAATCAAAATATTTCAGCTGAGAATCAAAAACACAATATATAAAATCTTAAATTAATTGTCAATATAGACAAAATTAAATTTATGTCAGTAGGAAGAGAAACACCAGATTCATCACCACTGAAAATTAAGACTAAAAGGGCAATAGAATTACATGAAAGTGAGTTCTGGTCATATTTTCTATCATGTTAAAGTAAACAGCGCCAGATTTGCTGGGCACACTTGAATGAACCTATTTTATTCTACATCCAAAGTATTTCATCAAAGTCAGGCCCAAATTAAGATGGGTTAACTATATTAAGGAGAAGAGCTTAAAGTTAAAAACCAATAAGCCCTGGCGAGAAAGAGAGCAAAAGGGAGGATCCAAGAGTAAGCCTTGACCCACAAAGCGCTGTTGAGTAAATAAAAAAGAAGAGTGCTGGATAATTAATAAATCAGAGAAGATGACACATTTCTTTTACATATTTATTATTTTTTTAAATTAAATTTGATTCCAGAAAAAGATGCTTAATGTTTTTTTCTGATTACTATTTTATTTGTTTGCAATATTCCTGTAATCCTGAATTCCATAATTCCTGAATTTCATTTGTAGAAACTTTTAATAGTCACAAATGAGGACACATAAATTACAATTCTGTAAATTCTTCCTTTAAAATGAGAAGATTTTATTATAATATCATCTGCAAGTTAAATCTTTCTTTCTTGGTTATCTTTCTTTCTTGGTCTTTCTTCTTATTTGGTTTAGTATAAGTATCTTTTCTTTAAATGTTTGTTAGTAGCGTGCAGATATAAATTTTTATTGTAGATTTTTCAAAATAGCATTATTAAAACACTTAAACATATTTTTGAATGTAGCTGACTTCTCAATTGGTAGATTACACTATTAGAGAATTGTAATACTAAACAAATAAAGTATGTAATCTTGCTCATAAATAAATAAAAAATGTAATAGAAACCTTATAAAACATTTACTATATCCTAATATACAATATTTGCAGAACTTTAAATAATAAGGGTTATTGAAAACGAAATTATTGCTGGACAATTCTATATAGGAATTTTAATATTTTTGATTTTATAAACTGAATTATATTAGTTTATTATTTCTGTTACATAAAATAAAATCCTGCTTTGTTAGAAATCAGAGTAAATGTATAGTATTTAGATTATTGATTATGAGACTAAAGAGCTTCTTAGACTATATGGGAGCTGCTTATTGATTCATGGATCTATTAACAGTATCTAGTTGCTAAATTGTTTAAACTAACAAAAACTATTTTTTGATTCTCCTTGAAACATTAAATAACGCTAACCTCTTGAAATTTTTATTTTATTTTTTCATTTCCTCATAAACAGCTCAGAGTAGAACAACCTACCCACAATGATGATTTTCTTCATGTTTTGAACAGTGCACCAAATTTTGTTATGATAGGAGTAAAACTGTGGATTTATATGGAACACTTAAAGATACTTTTTTATATATTACATTATGAGATTTCAAAGTTTCTGGTGATGAAATGTTGTTAAAAAACAATTTGTTATTCTGTATCTAATTTCTAATTTTATTTTCTGTTTGCTAAATTTTAGTACATCTTTTTTAATATCTTTTATTTAAAATTATGTATTATTTCTCTGGTGATAGATGTTAAATTTAAAACTGTATTGAAAGACATTTATTTGCAGTAAATACAAAATTAGTAAAAAATATCTGAGGTGGTATTAAATCATTTTAAGTCATAACTGGAAACCTTTTAGGAAACTTGGATCTAAGCAGTGACGATTCTAATGAAATAAATTCTGAAAGTGAAGAAGAATCACCTGAAGAAAGGTAAGTAATGTAAAAGACTGAGATTTATGATTTCCATGCTAAGAATAATAATAAAGTTTGATATTTTTTAAAAAGTTTTTTATGCATATTAACTTTTTTTAAAATTCTATTTTAATGTTCCACATCATCAGAATTTAACAATTCCTTAATTTTGGAACTGTCTATGTATTTGAAATTAATAGCTTTTTAAGTAATAGTTGCAATATAGATAACTAATGATTTTAATTATTTCTCTCTTAACTGATTTAACTTATTTTATGACTTTGCAAATTAAAGATATTTGAAATTAATGTATTTGATAATACATACTATCTTTGTATATTGGGCTCTCTGTTCACTTTTTTTATAACATTTTGAGCAAGTTCTAAAGCTTTTAAAATCGTCTGTAGATGCATAAAATGTTTTTAGCTGAAGGATTAATTATTTGAAGTTGTATAAATTTTTTTTTAAAGTCAAACCATTTGGGTTAGTTTTTAGAATCATCCATTAAGTGTTAAATAGAGATGCAAAACTATTGTACTAGGTAATACTGATATGCTTATATTTTGAGATAGCTCAGTTTTTTAAAAATTTTAATAGATCGTAAAGCTTTTTCAATCATTTGCAGCTGCATAAAATGCATTTAAGGGAATAATTAAAGAATTTTAAAAAGCCTTAAATTTAAATTCATAGTAACATATTAGTGCTGATGTTCTTTTTTTTTCCTGACAGTTTTAAAATAAAAAAAATATGCATAAATATTGCGTAAAATATTTTAAAGTATCCTCTTCTTTCGAATTTCATCAGTATTAGTCCGTATCCAGCATTTTATTTATTTATTTATGAATTTATTTTTATTTATCAAGCATTTTAGTAAATACAATTATAAGAATATATATCACTTATTTATTTTTTTGTAATCTTGAATAATTTTAGATTTATTTTTTATTTGCTTTACAATTTGCATTGTCTTTAAATTTTATGTATCACACCATTTTTTTTTTTTACAAAACAAAAAATTTTCTGGAGAATATATTTGTAATTTTTCATGTGATTTTAAGATTTTCAATGTACTACATATTATTCAAGAATTTTAACTTAGGCTTAATTTGTTTAAAGTAATCTGCAATTAGAAACTTTTTTTTTTAAAAAAAAAGTCTTCTTAATATCATTATTACTATGTGTGCTTTTCTATTATGTTCCATTTTAGCTAAGTATAGCTATTTTAAAAAAAATCTTGTTAAAAGTGCATTTTAATTAGATATAAGTAAGTGACCTATAATAATTGCTTTAGTTTACAGTTACATTTTTATAAAAAATGTCATCTAAAATATTTAGTGTAAAAGTAATTACTGCCCCTTTTTTAAAAATTATTTTAATTCAGTGTTATCAAATTGAAAAAAATTTTTATGATGCAAATAAAATTTACATGTACCTATTGAGCTAAAATTCTAATAAGTAATTTCTTTATTATTTTAATATAATATATTTAAACACAATTTATTTTAATATAAGTAATTACAAAATATTTATAAACATAAATTGATCATTTAACATAGAATGAATAAATAAAGCATTATAGAAAAGCAAAATGTTCTTCCTTATAACTTCAAATTTAGTTGAAGCAGCTTTTATATTATTCGATGATATGATTTTTGAGTGATAATTATGCTGAGAGCTTTTTTATGCACATGAAAGCATCATTGTCATTGCAATATGATATAAGCATATAAAAGTTTTACAAATTTTGAATAAAATTTAATATGCTCTCATTAAGTTTATTGTAATCGGTATCATAATCTAAACACTTCCATTTCCCTTAATTATTTTTTTTGATATATTTAATTTAATTGTTATATTTCATATTTATTTTCTGATTTCATTATGGAAAAGTCTGCTTTCTTACTAACAAAAATATTTTTAAAGAACCATGTAAATTGATGTAGATTTATACTTATTTAATTTAGTACTAAGTACAAGTTGTGGTCAAGTATGAAACAATATTTTTCGCCAAATAAATCATCAAAGAGCTTATCTCCATGTTTAAGCCCAACGAGAATGACTTCTTTACAAAGGAGGTATTATAATTGATAAAAGTAATTACCAGTCAAAAGGCACTAGCCAAGCAGGCTGTTGAACACTGCTTTGCTTTTTAGCCCTGCACATATTTGCTTAATATATATTTTCTATTTCAGGAATGATTGCTTTTACAATAAAAAGTTTTTTTAAAAAATATTTCTCTTCATTTAGTTAAAATTTGCTACTGCACGGCTTGTTAATGCAATGTACTACTATATTATGTATTACATTTTGCTTACTAGTACTATCATATGATACCACAAATATATTTTCTATTTGACATTTTTTATTACAATATTGAGAGTTATTTTTAGTAGTTTATTTAACTTATCTAAATAGGTAAAGAATGTTCTATTTTAAAATTATAAATTCAAATTTAGTGCTTAATTATTTTAGTGAGCTAAGTTTTTTTAAAATTATGTTTGGCTTTTTTTAAATTCTGTTTTTTTTTTAGTAACTATCACATGCATGAAATTAATGAAGGCAATGAAAGAAAAAACTACAAAAGTTATCGTGAAAAAATAACTATGCTTAATGAAAAATTACTGTTTGTTTTTCTAATCAAACTATCTTTTATGTCTTTTTAATAATAAAATGCCTCTTCTAATCATAGTTATACATTTTATTAAAAATATTTTCATTCACTATTTTAATATTCTCTTTATTACTGCATTTAAAAACAAAAGGAATGATTAAATCATCAAGCTGAATTGTGCCTGAAAATGCTTTGCCATTAAATATAATAAAGTGGAATGTTTTTTAATAAAATATAATAATGCTTTGTTCATGAAGCTGTTATATTTTATTTAAAACTATCTCCATACTTTCTTAAGTTGCAATTTGTTTTTGGCCAATGAAAATTTGGCTATTACTAAACTATTGACTTTACTCTTATATATTTAACAGTGACATGCAAAAAGATCATTTCACCGACATGTGTGGGACACTTTTTAGTGGATTTTCTTTATTAAATGTGTTTTGATGTTTTAATTTTTAAAACTAAAAATTTTCTGCAATTTTTATGAAATTTCAACTATTCTTTGATTTTTAAGACTGTCTTTTTTAATGTATAAAAATTAATTTCTTATAACAATCAAATCAAGCCTCACATATGGGATAGAGCTGAAATTGGATAAATATTTTTCTTAAAATTAATTGATGAATTCTGTGAATTGAAAATAATAATTGAATTATCCTATTTATTTTCATGAAATAAAAATTAAAAATGTATTTGCAGGAGTTATAGTAATGCTATGTAAGTTATTGTAATATTCCAGCTGCTTTTTAATTTTGGAATTAGTCCGCCAGGATGCTACAGAGATGCCAACTCGCTCCAGACAGTGGATAAATATTCAAGTGGTAGTCTTTTAATGTATCAATTCAGGCGTATTAGAGCAGATTTGTTGGCCACTCTTTCAGGAACGCCATATTAGGTTGTCCAACGATGCTCCCACAGTGAGGACAGATGGTACAGACATTAAAAGAACATCCATGCCTTGTCCAGGAATTTGAGCCCAGAACCTTTCTGATGCGAGGCCAGTTCTCTGACCCTAACACAGTCTGCTTGGAGAGACAGTTCATAATAAAAAGACTTTAAACTTAATTTTAACTTATTGTAGACTTTCATTATTAAAGATTTACAATGTGCTAATACATTTTAACCATATAGTATTTTTTTATGACAATTTATTAAATAGCGATAGCAAAATTCAATTTCTATTCTATATGTCAATGGAATGTGAACAAAAAAGTAAAAAAATATTTTTCTCCAAGAATTACAGTTATGTTTATTCTTTAAACCTGTCTGTTTCATATGTTATACAATCGTAAGGATTTCGACATTTATAAATTAACTGATATACCATTTGTGTCATTGATATTTGAATCATATCTGGACTTTTTATGCTTATTATTTGTCTTAAGTAATTGAAATCAAATATAGCAATTACTATATTTCCCAACAATTATTCAAATTTTTAGCATGACTTTTTTTCATCATTGGAAATTAGTTTGGTACTATTACACTGGCATTGAATTTTCCATTAATTTCCTATCATATAATAATTATATCATCAGCATTTAATACTGTCTATATTCACAGGGCCAGGATAGCCTGCCCAGTAGGGCACTGGGCCCATGTCCGAGAGTTCGGGGTCCCGGCCGAAGACAACCTGTGTAGTAAATGGTGACTGACACACGTTAAATCTGTCGAGTCTTAAAGTCCTCCATGTTCCCATAACAAATCGATACCTCTGGGGGTACTGGATTGGAGATTGAAGCGCTCTCTGATTTAGGTCAAAATTACGATCTGTGGATGAATGAATGGGTCTGCCCTATAAACGAGCTTGACGCATGGGTGTGGCAGAAGTCAAATTCTTGGCCATAGATGGCGCCACTGGAAAACAAGAGCAATGGCACCCCTCTGTCTAACAAGCATACGCCACAACAACAACAATATTCACTTGCTATTTCAGTTTTGTTTTAAATTTATTTCTAAACTACAAAATTATTGTAGAATTTTTAACATTAGCATATGCTAATTCTGAAAAATAATTTTCCAATGGAATAAAAGTTTATTTTGTATAATCAATTTAAGTCATATGACGTGTTTTATGTTTAGTAAGTGTTACAAATTTTATACAATTTAAGTGAAAAGATAATTATGGTTGCTAAAAAAAAGTAAAACTCATTTAATATTTTGTAATATCTTTCTCGTGTAGTATGTTTTTATAACGCTTTGTTTCTAAATGTTTAATATATAAATTTTTTATAGCTGTTCTGAAAAACATCGTATACCTAGCGTCTGGAAAGAATTTGTTAACAACATTTGTTCTACTTCTCTCTTGGATACTCGAAAAGGTAGAGCTGGTCGCATTTTAAATCCATTGAGAGGACTTTCTTTAGTGCCTTGTTTCTCTTTGTCTCCTCCTACCAGCATATGTAACGATGGTGAGTTTTAGTGTTTTTATAATTATTTTTATATTTGCTCAGCAATTAGATGTCTGACGTCAATGATTATTGGCATTTGTCCATTCAGAAGACAATAAGGTTCAACACACAGGTACGACGTCGCTTACATATATACAATTAAATCTGTTTTAAACCACATGGTTAGGCATGATCACTTTTTTCTTCTCGAGTTGCAAGTACCCTTTTGACTTGTTATTATTATTATTTATTTATTTTACACTTTTGGAAATCTGAACTAAGTTTTAGAGTTGTTTGTTTAAAATTCTTTTGGTCTAAGAATTTATCAACTTCAATAAATTGTTTACTAAAGCACAAAATAGTTTTTTTGATGTTTTTAATCATATAAAGTAAGTTTTAATTAAAGAAAACATAAATATGCTTTGAAAAAAATATTAACTTTTAAATTTAGATTTAACCTTCTAATGTGTTTTTATTATGACTAAGCACTTGCACTATTTAAAATATTGCTTATAAGCGTGTACAGTGCACCAAAAAAAAAAAATAGACCACCATAAATAACTTTTGGATCTAATGATCAGATCTTCAAGTTCTAGGATTCAATCTCAATGATTCAGGAATGCCCTCAAATATGCTAATATATAAGTAAGAACGATATTTTAAGTTACAAAATCAGAGACAAAAACGTACAACACACTTTTGTGACCGCTATCTTTGAAATATGGTCCCAATAGTTCGATGAGAAGAGCGCGCCAAAGTTTGGACCCCTTAATATTAATTTTGCTTTTTGCATATTTCGTCATCTCGAGAACTTCGAATTGAAATTTTTTTTGCTCAATTATAAAATTCACTTTACCAAAGATAACTCCATTTGAAAAATTACTTTTTGTAAATATTTATTATTTTTCATTATTTTATTTAATAATGGTCGAAAAAATTTTGAATTGTAAGATATACAGTTTTCCATCATTTTAAAGAAAATAATTTTGCTTTGCAAAATACAAAATTTGAGCAAAATCGGTTGAATAGTTCCTTAGAAATTGGATTTCAAAAAACCCACATATTTGAAATTAGATTTTGCAGGACCGATTTTGCTCGAATTTCGTATTTGCATGTAAAATTATGCTCTTTAAAATCACGCAAAAATTTGTATACCTTTACAATTCAATATTTTTTGATGCTTATTAAATGAATAAATAAAGAATAATAAATATTTATAAAAATTATTTTTTGCATGGAATTATCTTTGGATAAGCCAATTTTTATAATTGTGTGCAAAAATTTTAAATTTCCTTAAAAAGTTCCCGAGTTATAGCGAATTACGCAAACAGTAAAATTAATATTAAGGGGCCCAAACTTTGGACTGCTCTCCTGACCAAACTATTGGGACCATTATTTTGGGGGTCAAAAATCCGAATCTGTCGAATAAAAAGGTATGTTTATTCTGATCAAAGTACGCATTTGTGTCTGATTTCTAACTTAAACTATCGCCTGCACTTATTCATTAGCGTATTTATAGTCACCACCTCGATCTATTAAGATTGAGTTCAAAAACCTAAAGATCCGATCATTAGATCAAAAGTTATTAATGGTGGTCTTTTTTTTTGTGCACTGAACAATGTGCTGCCACAATAGCACTGTTAGTGACGACATATTTTTTTCAATAAACTATGCTTTCCATTCCACAGTGTTGTTTTATTTATTTATCTGCGAGATTACCCCATACAGTTTCCTTAATTAAAATATTTTATTTGCATCTATGTTGCTCAATAAAATATTTATACATTTTTTTACTTTAATTCAAGAACATTTTAGTTAATTTATTTTAAAATGCAGTTTTGTGTTACGTGATGTGATAAAAAGCGACCACTTCTTCCTCATCTTAATTTTTTTTTCTTCAATAAAACTATTTTTTGATGAAAAGGAAATCTTTTCATTTTGAAAAGTAGCAGTTTTGAAAGAATTTTAATACTTAAAATAATGTATTTTTATGTAAATATATTACTAAGTTGACTGATAAAAGAAAATTGTGCCTGAAACACTGATCATAATTGTTGTCAACATGTATAAATACTTGGGCCTGAAGCTTTTCATTCAAATGGGTTGTACATTCTTACATATAAATTATATATATTTTTCTTTTTATAAAAATATTTTAGCACACTTTACAAATAAAAATAACTTTTAACTAAAATTTGGATATAATTATTGTAAAATAGTAAGTTTTTTTTTCATATTTAAGATTAGTTTCATTCTAATGTGGTAAGTATATAAAATGTTCCAATTTAGTACTTTTTCTAACTTGCGCCTTTCCATCGCAATAATTCGTATTGAATAATATTAAAATAATTTAAAATAAAGTTAGTTATTATAAATACCCAAATGTCTCTTCATTGTGTTCGTGTTTCATAGAATAATTTTAAAAAAAATTTTTAATCTTGCAAGGGGGCGCACCCAAGTCTATGAACGCCACTGTTTATTAGTCTAGACAAAAACCATGAAACTATAAATTGACAAAAATTATAAAGCATGGTGATTCAGATAAAAAAAAAAAGAACATCTTTTACTGGTCCTTAAGATTTACTAATTGTTTTAAAGTGGCAAGAGGGTTGTACTGAGCATGCCCAGCTAAACTTTGTCTTCTACCTTAGGATGCTCTATGTCTTTTGGTGAACACAAGTTTTACTATTTTTAACACAAACCATAAACATAATTAATTATTAGAAGTATTACTGAACAATTAATCGTTTAGTTTGCTAAAATGAATTTTTCTTTAAAAAAAATTGTTTTTTTTTCTTTCAGATGCATTATTTAAAGGTCTTACTGAGCCAGCTTCTACAGATTCAAAAACATTATATTTAGTGGATGGTGGTCTCACTTTTAACTTGCCATTTCCATTGTTAATTCGGTCTCAACGTTCTGTTGACATTCATATAACATTTGATTTCAGCAGCAGAGAAGCTGATCACACTGCCCCATTTAAGGTTTTAATTTTTCTTTATTTAATCCCGATATTTGAGCAGTTTTTATAAAGATTTCTGAATTGTAAATTTTTTTTAGGAATTATTATTGAGTGAAAAGTGGGCTCGCATCAACAATCTCTTATTTCCTCCAATACATGACCTTGTTTTAGAGTATATGAAGCAACCGCCGAAGGAATGTTATGTTTTCAAACATCCAACAAATGAGTTTTGCCCCATTATAATTCATTTTCCACTTATTAACATGGATTTTAGAAAGTTTAAAGAGCCAGGTACAAATATTTTGGTTATTTTAACATTAATTACGATTTTAAGTATCTTTTTCGTTATTATCTTCTTTAATTAAAAAGTTTGTGTGATATGTGTGTTGTTTCCAGGACTGAGAGTCTATATATATATTTATGAATATTATATATTTATGAATATTATATAATTATTAATTATATTGGTAGCATAGGTATTTTATTTTGCACTATTTTTAGAAAGAGTTAACATTTAAAAAGCGTTTAAAATTCAAAAGTGAATTAATTGAATAATCCCTTTTAAAAATTTAAAAAAAAAATACTTATCAATGTGTATTATTTTTTATACCCTTTGGAAATTATTCTTTAAAAACAATTGGAAAGTTGACATTATCTTTACAATTACTTAATTTCATCTTACAGCTTGTTCCTTTCGTTTCTATTTTAAATTTTACAATGTATTGTTTTTTAAAAAAATTATCCATTACTTCGTTATTTATTATATGTTTCTTCTTTAGATCAGTTTTGATCAATGGAATATTTACAATTGATTTTTAAGATTGAATAATTAAAAAATATTTTTTTTAGTAGTTTGATGAGAAATTTGAATTTTTTTCAGTATTAAATATTTTAGAATATTTCTTCTTTTTTTTATCAGAATTTTATATTAAACAGGTGTGCCTAGAGAAACTGAAGAAGAACTTGAGTTTGCAAATTTCAACATTTTCAGTGATCCAAAGAAGACATACTCTATTTTTAATTTTAAGTATCCTCCTAAGAAGTTTGATCGTCTGGCTAAACTAATGGAATTCAATGTCAAAAACAACATTAATATAGTAATGGAAAACTTATCTGATGTTATTTCAAGAAAAAAAGAAAAACGGTTAAAATGAATTAAAGGCTTAAAATGAAATGGCTGAATGTTAGAGAATTTTTTTTTTCTAAATGAGAATTAATAATGCTTGAAGGAAGCTAAAAATTTAATCTGAAGTAGCCATATTGGTCCTCTCAATCATTTTTTAAACATTTAAACAGTTTTGTTTAGGTCAAAGTCAAAACATTTAAATCTGCTTTGAAATTCAACAATGACAGAATTTCTTTGAATATAAGTTGTCATACATTTTAAATAATGTAAAAATAAGGTATTAATTTCAATAATTTATATCACGTTTTATGAATCAAATATACGGTATTATATAAATTAAAATTTTTGAAAATACTATTTTTCATCTGCAAATTCCTAAGTTAAACTAAGAATATTTTGCCATTCCTTTTTTTTATTTCAAAAACAATTTATTGCTGTAAATTATGATGCAGTACATAAACTCTACTTGAAATTAAAGAAAGTAAAGTTTTAATAATGAGTCTATTGTGCAGGGCTGCAACGTGTGACTAAAAATGTAAGAAGTGGTAGAAACTAAATTAATTTAATTATTTTCAATCATAACTACCACCATGACTAATATTGCAAATTATTCATATTTATTGTGAAAATATTCTGTGTGTTAATTTTTTATATCTTTTAATAGATTTTTACTTTTTAGTCACCACTTTATACAGTTTTAGTTGCCCGTGGCATCCATGTATTGGGTAAATTATGGAAATTAAAAATATGTACATTAGTTTTTGAGTTTTATTGATATTTACAAAAACTATTATTGCATTTTCAAGAAGAGGTCAACAAATTAAAACATGTTTCAATTTTATTGATTAATTACCTTAATTTATCACTAATGATTGTTAATTCTGGAAAAAAGACACCCAAATTTATTAATTATATTTCTTAAACAGTGTAAGAAAATTCAAAATTCTACTTTATTTCATCTCTGCACTAAACAAATTTAAAATATTGTATTTAAAAAGTGGTTTTATGTTATTATTTATTTTGCATTCTGTAAATACTAGCATATTTCAGTTTTCATTTCATATGCAGTCAATTTTCAATAACTCAGGCATGATAGGACCAAAGAAAAACCCTGATGTATCGAAAGTTGGACAATTTGTTTAGATTTTAAAACAATAACAAATGGCTTTTTAACAGTAGGGTCGTAGATTTATTGTGTTTAAAAATATTTCCTCTTAATCTAATTAAAATTAGGGGGAATTCCAACTTCAACACTATATATTTCTTCTTCATGATTGGATTTCTGTTTGCATCATTATTAACTTCCAAATTTAGAATTTTAAATTTACTTTTGGACATTTTTATCAGTTAACACTTCTTCCCCACAAACTTTAAGAAAAAATTATTAACGCAGATCTCATCCGGAACTTGATGGATTTTAAATGTATGATTAAATTTGAATATCATGCATTTATATTAAATCCATTACAGTATTGATGTGGAAAATTCAAACATGTATAAAAGTAAGTATCACGGTTTTATCCTTTTCCTGACCAGTTGTATAGAGTTAGAGAGGAAACAATCAATTACCCATCTGTTATGGCTTATTTATTATTATTTTTTTTGTTGCCTTTTTCAGCAATAAAAATTCTAGTTATCTTTTTAAAAATATCAAGTTAAGGGTGCGAAAATTGAGAATTTTTAGCAAGAAATTAAGTATTAAGGCCTTAGCACACCTCAAAAAAAATTTCAGGAATTAATAGTAATCTTTAAGTTATCATACTTTGAGTTATAACAAATTGATCATATATGTTAACATTTTAAAGTTTAAATTGTGTAAATGAACAAAAAATAATTAATTAGTAAGAAAATAAATTAATGAGTGAGAAATGCTCTTAAAATGTTAAAATTGAAATATCTAGCTCTCATGTATATTATATCTGCATAATGCATTAATAAATATTCTCTTTACTAACCATAGTTGGTTAATTTTTGCAATCAGGAATCTTTAAAATTTTATTATCGCTACACATTCTATAAAATTTGCACAATTTGAGAGATTATTTAATGTGATAAATGTTGTATATAATTGAAGTTTTCTTTCAATTGGAAAATTCTCTTTGTCTCCATTACTTCGTAATCTATAGAACTTACTAATTACTATGAATATTTAAACATTTGAAATTAATAAGAAAGAACTTTAAAGTGATAACCTGCTTGACAGTTTTTTTTATATGTTAATTTTTTAATACTGTTAATTTTCTTCAATATCTATGAAATTTATATGACTTTTGAGTACCTTAATTTTTACAAGTTTGTGTAAGTTTTTATGTACAAGTGTTTTTAGTATTAATGTTTGTAAATAAAATTTGCAAATCCTGTTTCAGAAAATATAAAAATTTATGACATTTTTATGTGTAATTAACGAATTTTTATGCAATGTATTTTGCAATATTTATAAAGTATATATATATATACATTTCTTCTATTTCAAGTCTGTGATACATTTTTGGAAATAAACATGTTTATCTCATTTCAATAGTTTGTGAATTATTTCATACCTCAAATAAAGCTCACATAAAAAGCAAAATATTGAAAACAAAAATTTTTAGTAATGACATGAAGATATGCATTAATTTTCACTAAAAAATTTCTGGAGGAGCAATTCAGAAGTATTACAGATTCATGGGTGTCATTTGCAGATGGAACATGTCTCCAATAATTAGAAGTGTCTATAAGTCCCCCTCAATATTTCAGACAAGTAAAGAAAACTTTCATGAATCATCATAGCATTAAAAACAAGAAAGAGACAAAAAAATTTTAAATCTTTTTTACAAGTATTTAGCAGATTTGAAATTCTTTTTCTTCTCCATTGTGGGACATTTCAAGAACTATTGATACTGTGTACTTAAATTTAATCCTTCTCAAAAATGGCGCTCCAGCGACACCGCTGTGCAGATTTATTCTTTAACTGTATTTAGTCTGAAAGAAAGGGTGAGTTTATGAGTTGAAATGAGACAAGGAATAGTGCTACGGACATATATTTCTTTATTTTGTTCTATCCTTATTAGCATCTAGCAGACAGTGGTACAGTTACAATTTGTAAGGTAGTTCTCACAATTGATTACAACTTCATAACCAAGATAGATTATAAAACGAATATAATAGAAAACCTCAAAAATACAGCAATGGGAATGAAATGAATAACTTGTGAAGTAATGCCAAAACATGATTATGTATATTTATCTAAAGAAAAAAGGAAGTGTCAAATTTAAACAATTATACTTATTTAAATATAGTGAAACCTCTATTGGGCGGACACTCTTGAAATTGAAAAAATTGTCCGCTTATGAGAAGGGTACACTAAAAACGAAGTTTTGTAAATTGTTTTTAGAATAATTGCAATGATATAAAATATTTAAATAATCTACAGTAACTATTCGCAATGATATTTATTAAAAAAAAATACTTTTCAATACAAAAGAATATATGAAAAAGTTCCATATACTATATACATAATTCAAGATGTAGCTACATAGAAATGAATATGTTTTTCTTATTTACACAGACATATGTTACTGAATAGGAGCTTTTAGTCCTATGTCATTTGTGCAATCAGTTTAATAATTAGGTTTACACCCCTTTAGACCTACCCATCACTTGATAGGAAACACTATAATACCTCCCAGGATGCACAGAAAAAATAAAGCATCAATGCATACCTGTAAGGCATAACTCAGAGTTGTTATATTCACAGTCAGTAAAATGTCTGACTAAATGTTTCATATATATAAACACCTCAATGACTAGATTTTCTTTTTTTACCCAGCTGTGTTATATGCAGTCAGTCTCGAAATTGATTAGAAGTAGAAAGGAATTTTCAGTAAGGAAGAAGAATTGAGAGCATTAAAGGTGCCATCTCAGCTTTGGGGTCTCATAACCAATACAGTTCAAATAAAGAGATCAAAAGATGCCACTGTCTGAAATATGTCACATGAGCAGTCTCCCATTTGTTATCAAAGAGAGTGATCGATTCTTTAGTAGTAAAATAGCTTAATATTTTTAGTGGTGGATAAGGCAAACAATTTTAAAAAAATTTATTTATTTTAGAATTTAAAGCAGAATATATTTTTTTTTAAATTTAGAAAAATCGCTGTCTGGTTTGAAGAGATCAAAAAGAATTAAAAAAATGCTTCAGCGCATAAATACTGCCTGTGTCCAGGTATGGGAGAGTTGTTTTGCAGAGAAGGTACATCATGGTTTATTTATAGAAGATCAAGGGGAAATTAAAAATATGCCTGTAATGAGAGGCGTCCGCTTTTTAGAAGTGTCCGCAACGTGAGGTTTCACTGTACTACATTTGACTTCATTTTGCCATAACAATAAAAACAATGATGGTAAGCTTCTTCAACAATGGAAAAAACAGCCCTAGAGGAAATAGATTTCTTCCAACTTAAATGGAAGAAGCTTTTTTAAAATTAAATATTAAAAAAAAAGTTTATAATGTATATATATTTATTTATATTAATATATATTTATTTGTATTAATATATATTTTAAATAATATTAATTTTTAAGTTCTTTAACTTAGTATTTTTAAATAAGTAAGCTAAAAGGCAATGATTTGAAAGAAAGATCATTGAATTTCTTAACATATAAAAACAACTAAATGTTCTTTCAGTTTTAAGAAAGTGCGTAAAGTAGGAACTAATTTAATAGTTACATAAAGTACTGTTAAAATATCACAAAACTAATCTTTGTCTAGTTTCTTTGATCTCTTCTAGTGTACTTTAACCTCCAGACACTAGAAGAAAACTCGAACCGATTCCTAACTCAAAATTAAAGTGAATGGTAGCAATGCATTTTTGGGGGAAAATTGTGCATACTACATGCATCAATTCACTTGAAGAATATTTATTTTTAATTTATTTCAGTATATCATACTTGAAGATGATTCCATTATCAGAGTTACATGATTTAAAACAAAAAATTAATTGTTTTCCGAATCCAACCAGGAATAACAAAATTATATAAAATAATAAAAATTAGGATTTTAAATAATAAACCGATGCATATTATAAATAAGTTTCATACTTTTTACTTTTATTTGTACAGACCGTCCATTAAAAATAGTAGAAAAAATTACAAACACTAAATAATATAAATGTAATTTTCTACATTTAATGTAAAAAATCAAGCTTCTAAATAATGAACCAATAGTCTTGTAATATTTTTTAATTAAATTAATCAGACAATGGAGAGAAACTGGGGCAAATAACAAATGTATATAATTTTTTATTTAAGTAATATGCTTATAACTTTTCAATAATATCTATTAAATTATAGAAGGTGTTGCAACAAGTTCAAGAAATTTAAATTCCAAGTGAGAAAAAAATTATATAGAGCAATAATGTATAGAACAATGAATCTGGCAAGTGCCTTCCTCAGCTTTGCTGGCATATTTCTGTGCGTTTGTACGTATATATAAATAAATATATACATGTATATAATCACAGTTGGTTGATAAGCGATGCTATACCAGTGAATAAAATTTTCTTTTCTATAGGGTGATTATAGATACTTTGACATAAATCTTTGAATTTTAAATACTCAAAATAAGTAAATTTAAGAAAAGGTTGAATTACATAATAAAGGTGTTGTTTTCTTGATACCAAAAAGGGAGATTAAAAGAAAACTTAAAAAAAATCATCAGATGATGACACCAGCTAAAAAAAATTACACAATAGATCTCTTATTTTATATATAATTGTGATAATATAATATAAATATATCATATATAACTATAATATAAATATAATAGCATATCATATATAACTGTCGTTTCCTACTGCTAAATAAAAACTTTCAAATTAAATGAAATAAATATATATTGTAATACATATATAAAGCATAATATACTATTATACATATGCATAATATTGTATATAATATATTAAATAAATTCAAATTTTTTGCTCTTGTTGGGACATGCTAAATTTCATCAACACTAGATCATAAAAGAATATCTATAAGACCCATGATTATTAATCTTATTACAGATTCGAATTTCTTGTTCTTAGTCTTAAAAAACTATAAAGTTGTGATACATTAAACCACTTAACTCCAACTCTTTTTAACTCTGCTGTAAGATGTTGATAATGATTAGATACAAACTGTTCCATTCCAAATACGATGTTCCATACATACTCCTGTAAAAAAAGGCATTCAAATTATTATACTATTGCAATTTTAATTTATCATTTAAAAAAAAACAACACATATGTGATGTTAAATTATGTTATCATCGGGGGTGCAGGGGAAGTGTTATGTGGAAAAGCAGCATACCCCCATTGATTTTTTGATAAAAATCTAATTTATTTGTTAATTTTTTAATCAATTGCAAAATGTGCTTATTTTTATGCAATGCAAACTTTTTTTGTTCGTTCAAAGTTGGTTGAAAAGTAATCAGTGTGCTGTATCTTTTCTTGCTGCTATAGACATATCTGGCACAAATTACTAAAGCTATTTCCCAAAGATCCTCAATTTTAATTTACTGTCACAAATAACTGCATAAATTCAAAAAACGTTTAATAAGTTTTTATAACTGAAGGAATTTGAAATCAAATGTTGTTAGAAACAAAATTTTTTTTAACACTTCAACAGGTTATTATTTATTTTTTTTAAAAAAATAATAAAGAATAATATGAATATACCTCTATTACTAATGCTGAATGTTCTGTTGGATAAGTAGTTTCTAAGCCATCATAGCTATTAGCTAAAAAACAAAGATCAAAGATTAGTTCTAGTTTGTTTTCTTAACCACAATAAAAATTTTCAGGTTTAATTAGCCACGCGTTTGAAAATAAGACAACAATAATTGAATGCTTTTTTAAAAGACCCATGGAAAGTCACTTGAAATATTCAGTTGGATTTTTTTTTTTTAAATTTTGTGTAACATCTTATCTAATAATCAATATGATCGTTTACATCGAAAATTAAAAATGAAATTTACATTTAATATAGGAACCATATATCAAATGCGAATATCATATGAGAAATGAGACATGAAAGTATTTTAGCAATCTTAAACATTCATTTAAAAACATTAAGTGTTCTTATGTTAATAATTATTTTTTATTTTATTTAAATTAAAAAACTTTTTGAGAAAACATGCACTGACTTTTGAGACTAGTACACGTTTGTTTTTCCATGTAACAGATTGAGACGTAGAGATTTGAGATTAATAAACAGATCTATTTACTAATTATTAGTTTCTGAACATATTTTTACCACAGAACAAGGTTTGATTAGATTGTACGTGCAAAAGAAGTCTAAACATGAAAGATGAATTAAATGGCACTAATTAAAGTATCTAGTCTAGAATTTACATTTTGAGAAAGTGTTATTTTTCCCAAAATGTTTTTTTTAATAATGATAAAAAAAAAAGAAAGATCAGAATCATTTTCGTCGTGCAAAATAATTAATAAGTCTTTTCCTTTTTAATAATTTGATTTCCCAAGAACTTAGAGATTCTGCACAGAAAAATTCTTCGTTAAAGATAATTTTAAAAGTAATACATCAAAAATTAGTTTATAGCATGTAGTGACGAATTTTTTTGATTAGTACACCATTTAGTTTAGATAACACAGAATATTAGAATTAAGAACACCCTAAGTAAAACAATGCAAAATATTAATGCTATCATTAAAAAAAAATTACAATATATGTCTGATATCATTAAGTTATTGAATGGATATTAGTATTCTTAAGGATGCGACGCTTGTTTCCGAACAAATATTTTAAATGCATAATAACCTGGTATTACTATTTTGACACCCATATGTAATTTTAGAAGATTAAAAACAAAGTAGTTAAAATTTCACTACAAATTTAACATTTTTAATCGATGGCGAACTGAATGTTTCATTATCAGATGTAATACTTTAGATCGTAAACAACATTTTTGTTTTGACCAAAAGTAAAACAAAACAGGAACTTTCTGTTTTCTTTTTTTTCTTCCCCTTCAATTGAACTTCCGACACGTCTTCTTCGAAATATTTTCACAAAATACATTTTTAAAATAAAATAATTTCCTGATTTTTCAAGAATAATGAACAGTTAAAACTTAAAAAAATCCTTTCCTTATAATGAAGAAAAAGTTTTTTTGTAATTTGATACTTCCAAATGGAAAAATAGCAAGTATTAATGCTTAAAGTTTGGCTATCAAATTATAAAAATGGCAACACTAATGAATTTTATATAAATATTTTGAGTCTTGTCGTGTTTACCTGTTTGTGAATGACGCTTACGCGGACATTCACTTTTTCATAATAAAAACTTCGATTTTTGCCTAAAGCAACTGTCGTGTAAATTATGACTTAAAGGATATTATTATAATTGTTTGAAAAACTGAATTTTTAGTGTCAAGGATTTTGAAAGTAAATACATCCATGATGTGACCCAGTCTAGTTGAACTGCTTCAGGTGAGTCAAGTGGTGTTTCATTATAGCGATGCGGAGATCAGTGTGTTGTTTTAATTTTAATAAATTATTTTTATGTTTCAAACTTATAAAAGATTTTATAGTATTATTTCAAAGTATTCAATATTTTTGTTCAAGATTATCTAATCTATTAGTTTTAAAACTCAAATTTACTATTGAAACTTTCTAAGGTTTTACTGAAAATTACATGGAAGTTGTAATAAAATAAGTTTTTCTTTCATTGGCATATACTTTTATTAAAAGTATTAAGTAAATTATAATTGAAGGACATCTAAAAAAATTTTACGCATATTTTCGCTAATTGCTCTTAGTAAATATTTTCTTACTTAATAAGTTCGGAAATAAATTGTTTTCTTAAATTTTTTGTATACATTTATGGAACATAAACACAATTATGTTCACTTGAGACACATTTTAACTGCGTGCCTTAAGAAATTAAGTTTTTGACACTTTCACAGCAGAGCTCAATTGAGCATATTTTGATTACGACACAAAACTGTCACTTTCCTTTTTGTTTTATGTAAGGGTCTGATGCCTAGGGTCTGTTCAGTTTTATAGCTCTGATGTCTCTCATTTGCTATTAGTCTTTGTGTGGTAAGCTATCACCGAAGATGTTTAAGTGAGAAATAAAACCACTATTTAGAAGAATAAATAATCTTATTATTGTGAAGATAAATGGAACTTAAAAATTAAGCAGTATAGCATTGCCAAAGATATGAAGAGAAAGATGTAAATAATTTTTAACAATATATCAATGAACCCGAAAAAAGAAGGAAAAAAAGCAAGATAATCATTAGATTGATTTATCTATTTTTATGAATGTTTAAAGGCTTTGTAATTAATACAAACTAATTAAAATATTTGTCAACTGTTATGATTTTACAGTTGAAAATCAAAACTAATGTTGAGTCGGACTTCCAATGCGAAGTTTTTTGTCAGTTCTGCCAGATTTGAGTTATCGGGAAATAACTGTATATATTTATATAAAAATTAAAACAGCACTGTTTAATAAACTAAATTGAAGGCAGAATTTTAATTTGAATAATTAAGATGGAAATTTAATATGAATATAAGAAATTTATTATGAATATGCACTGTAGTTAATTTCAATGTATGGTTATTTATTTTTCCCGAATTAATTTTACATTATTTAAATACTCAGTATGGATTTTCATTATATAATGATTCTGGATGCAAGCAAGTAATTTTTTAGTTCTTAATTTTATTTTTAATGAAACTTGGAAATAATTTCATAAAGGTTAAACTTCATTGTTATGCTTATGTTCAGTATACGTGTAAGGTGTAAATACTGACAATGTACATAAAATCATGTAGTATTGTTATTATCATATTCAACATTGGATATTCGATTATAATCTACCATATATCCAGGTGTGTACGTTGATCGCTTGAAAAAAACTAATTACAAAAATTTCTATTTTCTTGTTAAACTTTATAAAAAGTGAGGAATTTCTATTTCTTTAGATGAGGAATTTTTTGTGAGACTCAGCAGATGAGGATTTACATCCTCATCTAATTGTAAAATCTATTGTAGAGTGGGATCCATTTGAAGCCGTTGCTAACAGTATTGAATCTGATACAGGCAGGCGTGTGATTCTTCTGCTAATTCGTGGAATGTCGTGAATATCAAGACTTGATTTGCAGACTTCCGTGAATCAATAATTTATATTCCGACAAAATTTTCTCATAGTTCACTTATCTAAGTTTAAATTCCGTTGTTTATGCAAAATGTTGTTGACGAGACATTTATTCTACTGTTACTACCAGCTCCAATTTTTTCTTCCTAAGTTATCGTTCACATGAAATAGTGGATTTTTTACGCATATTTGTCCTAGAAGGTGCGACTTAAAATAAGTGATGCAAGCACAAAAGTTAAAAATTGATTGTCTAAAAAATCAATTCCAAAAAGGTAAACATTAAAAAAATTCTATAGAAAAAATTATGTTTTTCTCTTTTTTTCAAAAAAAAAATTATCTTTAATTGATAGCAATTTGTTGAAAATTCCAATTTGTCACAGCAGAATTATTTTACCACTGTGCTATATTTGCCCTCTTTTTTATTTGATTACAATTAGGTTGAATAAATTTCTAACATGATATTATGACTTGATAATTTCGAATAGCGCATGATCCGTGTTTCGGTATTGTTTCTTTGTAGTTAATGCAATTTATTTTCTCGTGGTTTTTAAAATTCCAATATTGTTATAACCTGCAAAATTTGAATTGGGTATTTGAGTAATCACTTTCGTCAATACCATCGGATGTCCTTGTGATGTTCTGATTATTATAACAACTATTGCTCCTGCAAATTTTCCCAATTATTTTTTTTTAAATACAGTACAGAACCCGTTATCCGGAAACCGGAAAACCAAAAAACCGGAGCGAAATTCGATAAATTTTCTCGCCACTTTAAAAAAAAAATTTTTTTTTCCTCATAAGATTTTACGATTTTTCTTCATTTTTTTAAAGATGTTTACCTTACCATCATTTGGGAAATAATCATTAGTGTATTACTTCATCGTTTTTTCTTATTTTTAAGATTATTTCCAAATATTATTTTTTTTTAGTTGGTTTAACAATAAAAAAAAACGGCTTTTTGTAGCAATTCAGAAAACCAGAAAAATCAGTTATCCGGAATAGCGATGGTCCCGACCGTTCCGTATAATCGGTTCCCTACTGTATATATATTTTTTATGTGGTCATTCGTGCATTTATTAGTGTTTTTTTCATTGAAGATGCCACTGTTTATTTTTGTAAATTTTTTTTATTGACTCTTTTATGGTTACTGCTACTGGTATTCACGTGGTATTTTATGTCCCGATATTTTCATATGATATTAGTATTTAGAAAAAAGACATTCGAATTGCACATTTTACATTTGAGTAATTACTTTTTGACGCACTCGATTTGCTCTTATTGTTTTTTTTCTTTGATAGTTATTGTTCATTTTCACATGATTTTTTAAAATCGCACATCATCTGAGTATTCACTATTTGACGTGATAATTTTATCATTTTTTTTCAATCTATTTTCGGCATTTATCACAGCTGATTTTTGCATATTTTTAATACCTTGATATTTTGAATACATTATTATTTATTAAAACATGTGAATCTTGAAATGTACATTTGGTTAACCCCTTTTGGATGTGTCAGATTCGTGTGATTTTGTCATAAATACACTCGTCATCTTATCTCCTCTCTTTCTTCAGTTATTGCCGAGGATTTCACGCTTTTTAAATTTTTAACTATTATTATTATTTTTTTTTTAATGGGATGAAAACTTGCAAAGGGCTAAAGGAAAAATATGCATTATTTTAATCCTTTAAATATCCAATCATTTTTTGAAGGAAGGCCATAGAAAAAAATACTTTGCATTTGTCCAGCAAAGTAAAAGGTAAAACCATGATAAAATAATAAATAAAGTAGTAGTGCGATGTAGACTAAAGCAAATGACAATGCGAGTGAAGATTTTTATGTACTTTCATCTGTGCTTTATTCACATTTTTAATTGCTTTACATTTGGTTTGGATGGCAATAATAACTGCCAGTTTTTAAATTAACAATAATTCTTTACTATAATATGAATAGTATTAAAAAACAAAGTATAGCTGATTATGTACATTTACAAAGTACATGTTCAATATTTTTGATGGAAAAAGATGGTAAAAATAGAGTATGACACACTTTTGCATCTCTACATAGAATAATATAAAGTGTATGCTTTAATGATATTAAATAAACAGTTTTTATTTTTTACCTTACATAAACTACTTACTTTACCTTACAAATTTGGAGTTTTAATTTATATTTTCAATATATTTTTTTGTGCATATTACTTTGAAAAATAATTAAAAAAAATTTTAAACTTATTAGTTAGTATTTACTTGAGACAATTCTAAAAGTGCATAATAAGCTCAATCAAATAATTTTTCATCATAAATTTTTCAGAAATTATTTTAAAGATAAACTGATTTTTAGAATTCAATCAATTGAAGTTTGATGTGTGCAACCAACTACACTTATCAAGCGTTGGCTGTTAATTAATATAACCTTTTTTAAAATAAATCATCAGGCTCGATTAAAAATATTTTTTTTTTGTGTCCAAAAGATTATTGCAATTTTGGTTAAGTTATTAATAATTTAGTTTGCATTCACAAAGATTCTATTGAGTACTTTCTTTTTTGAAATCTGCTGTTTTTTTTCATCACCGTCAAAATGCTCACAAATTGTTAATGCTTTTTTTTTTCAAGTAAGACAATTTTTAGGTAAAATTTTCTAAAATAATTTTTCAGCCGAATTTTTTGGCATTTAATTTATTAAATATTACTGAAAAATTGAGCCTTGAACCTTAATGAGAAAAATACTTCATGCCTTTGATGTTCTGCGGATGCCATTCTTCTACTCTCAAGATAGATTTACACCTTGTCAACAAAAAAACAAAAAATTGTATCTTTAATTTTGCATTTAATTTTTGGAAACAAAAACTAGTTGGCCTTCAAGAGTCTTA